TCTGCGTGTCGAAACTCCTCTGTGTTGTATTGTGGTTCTCAATTCCTCATCACCTCTAAATAACAACTATCTCCACCCAACAATCGATCATGATCGGCTTCAGCTACCAAGCTTCGGACCACAGGTTCCTTCAACCACACAAACACCAAATGAGGAAAAGAGACGGCAAACTCATTAAAAGACAAAATAAACCCAATCTTGAGAGTGGAAAAAGGAACTAAACATCAACCACCTTAAAGAGAAAGCGACCCAAGGAACGTGAAGGTCTGAAAGAGCGTGGCAGCTCGTGGATTCCCCATCAAAACAATCCTTTGTTTCTCACGATCACCGCTACCCGGACGCCACTACAACATCAACCTAAAGCTGCAAAGCACAACAATCAAAGCAAAATCATCAAAATCGAAGAGCGAACCGCTCCACATTAAAATAGGCTGAGAACTGATGATGCCAAGACTGTTCAAGTTTACCTTCCCTCAACCCCACTTCCATAGGAACCGATTGCAAAGGGGAGTACATGCAAACAACGGCCAAAAAAGAGAAGAAAAGGTTAGATTGAAAGCCGAAGACAGAGGGAGAAATCAGAGCATAAAAGAGAGACAAACCTACAAAGAAGCTTCAATGACTCGATCATGCAAATGTTTATCGGGATTCTTGCAATACATCATCACCGAGATGCGTGCATCCGCTGTCTAGTCGCACCCACAGACTTGTGAGAAGGAGATGGAGAGAAGATGTCTTATTCTATCTGCCATTAAAAGAAATCCCTAGAGAGAATGAATCCCAGACTCACCAACAACAACCCACAGGAGAACTATAAAGAGAGCAGAGAGAAGATCACATATAACATTTTAGTTTAAGGGAACCTGCAATCAGTGTTCTTTTCCCGGGGATAAAAGGAATCATGCGCATCGGCTGGTGCTTCGCGAACCCCATCTCGTCAATGGCCTACAAGTCTCCAATTTCCTCGGCCAGACTTAAAGGGGAGAATGCTCAGCGGTTCTTCGATTGCACCGGCGGAGCTAAGAGGAGAGATCGAGAGATAATCATAGAGACCGGGGCGCGACTTTAATCAGTATCCGGAAAAGAACAAAAAAAACGAAAATAGTTAAGATTGAAAGCTCACTGGAACCGACAGGTCTTCCTCTTCACGTGTGCACAAATCAAGTCCGCTACTCAACCCAGCAGCCTCTGGTAATCGATGAAGATGGTACAACCAAAAGCATATCTGAAAAAAAAAACACCCCAAACCAATTAAAGAGAGACACAAATAGACTGAGAGAGAGGAAAGAAACCAGGCAAATCGAATCTCACCATGAATCGAGCAGAACCCCAGAAATCAGTGCGGGGGCAGTGAGTAGCAGACGAATTGCGAGGTCTATGGACGAACCGAGGAAGGAAGAATGAACACGGCGGCCGAATGCGAGGAGGAAGTGGGGTTTCTTCTCCCAACAGTACTGTGCTCATAAAAGCTTCAAAATTATCGTTCTGAGCTTCTCTCTGGAGCTATGCATCAATCGCCCGCACATCAACAATACAGAAAGAGATAGAAATGAGAGACCGATAAACAAAGAAGGGATGGGAGAGAAGGAAGAGAGCGTGTAGTGAAATAAGAAAGGGATTTCTAATTTGCCTCTGACTCTCTCTCCTCCCGACTAATTGTTTGTGTGGTGGGGAAAACCCTTAACTTCTCTGCGAAGGATGATAGTATTCGAGAAACCCCTTGGGACCCGAAGAGCACTGTAGCAGTATCCATGGCAAGATACAATATGATAGTTGAAGAAGGCAAGAGAAAAGAGCAAAGAGAAACGTACAGATTGACAGGTGTAATGATTAGCAGAAGGTTTTAGAGGGAATGGTTAAGAGAAGTAGAAAAAGAAAAGCAAGAAAGCAGAGAGCGAAGGGGAAATGAGTGTTGATTTGAGGGCAACTCGCCACTCACAACAACACCTCAGCAAAAAAAAAGGCCCGGGGCTGGATAAACCCAACGGCAGCCCAACCAATATCACCCCTTCCAAGATAGAAAAAAAGGCGGTCGGGCCCAACTGCAGACCATGGACCAATGGGAGGAGGGTGAAAAGTAATTCAGAGTCTAAATAAACAGGAATTTCATGTCTAGGCGAACAGTGCACCATGTCTTTGCAAATAACTTTTTTCAATGAAGCTCGTCAAAGGAAGGGGGTTCCTCCAACCATCGCCTCGTCAAGGGTCCTCCGGTGACGTGTTTTGTGCTTGTTTACATGTTAACAGGCCAATTACAGTAAGTACCGAAAATTTTTAGTTAATTAAAATATCTTTCTTATTATTTATATTTGTAATATTTAATCATCTTTGAAAATTAATGTCGTGACCTGGTGATTTACTTATAGAATTAGGTAATATAAGTCTTTTAATAACTTATTTAATCACCTAGCTAGTAGCTATTAGTACAATCTTTATTTGGTTTTATGTGGTTTTCTTTATTTTTAAAGAGCCTTTAATTTCCCTAATTAAGAGAAGTTGGTAAATATATCTTGTTAGCTTTTATTTTTTAATTATTTAAATTAACTCCTTTCCACATCATTGATGTTTCTATTCGGTAATTTCTACTGAGCCTCAAGGGTAAGCATTAATCTCTTGGGAAAGATATTTATAGCAACATAGTGGATGTTTTTTCGATGCATCACTTTGCAGGAGGATTATAGTGTTATGAGGATAAATCAAAAGAGTGTAATTGATTTAGTCGGCCTATCGGGTGATGTTCCGATCTTATTTGTTTTAGTAAATTTTATGAGGATACCATGGAGACTTTTATTGTTGAATAAATCTCTTATTGTAATTCTATGAAATTGTATTTGATGCATTGATTTTTGTTATGAATTTTGATAGCTACTCATTGTGGCTGTGGAAGGAAACTTCACATTCCTTGAATGGGGCGATCACATTTTTGTCTGTATCACTTTTTAAAAAAAAAATATTTAGTGGCACTTTTTTTCAATATTTAGTGTCGTGTCTTTTGCTACAAAGAGTTTTTCATAGCTGTCTATGTAGTGGCATAACAAATTTATTTATCAGTTGTTTTGTTGAACATGAATTGTCACATGTGATCAGAGTAAGTCTTGGTAGAGTTATTGTTTCCATGCCCTTTGGACTGGTTTTGGGGGGAAAAACTATTATAGTTGACTACAATCCGAAAAACTTTCAATTGAAATGAACTGTACATGACCAATGATGGAACAAGGTTTAGAAAGGGTGATTGACAAGCTAAAAAATATTTTTAAATCTCATACATGAAAAAAATGGTTAAATTGAGCGACAAACATATATCTAGCCTTGTAGAAATTGTTCCAAACACAAGATCTTAGAAATGAATTCCATAAAAGCAAAATTCATTTCCATTTTCTCTGACTCCAAACGAGTTATCACTTATTATGTTGAATTTGGTAGATCGTGTCTACAACAATGAGACCCGCGAATGTCGGGGGAGAGACAATATTTCTATTGCGACTTGTATCGATTTTTTTTAATAAGAAAATACATACAATATAGAAGAAACAATTGATAATGAGATTCGATATAATAGAACGAGTTATCTTTTTCCTCCTTTACTTGCAGTAAAAATGAGTATGATAATTCATAGAAAAGGAAAGAATCTGCCAATCTTTATACCAAATGTCCATGTACAAGATATACATCCATTTCAATGTTCAAGAACTACAAAAACAGTATAGCTTTGTAAAAAAAACGTCAACTCACCCATTATTTGCTCACTGAACTCAGGCTCAAGATAGGGTGCATAACCATGGGTTATGCATCCATCAATAACCAAATCTGAACCCTTTATTTAGAAAATCCAGATCTAAGGATGGAGAATTAAAGATCATTTTTATTTTCTCTAGCTTTCTTAATCGGTTCATATCTTTTTCGTTTTAACTCGGATTTTAACTTTTTTTGCACAGGTGGAACGAGTTCATCGTGCTCTACAAAATGAGATCAATTTTAAATATTTTTTTAGAACAACAAATTACAGGACCAAAAAATACCACACAATACCATACAATACCACCCTGGTACGGGGTGGTATTGTATGGTATCTTCTTCGTTTTTAATTCGTTTTTGAAAATGTTTGCACAGAAGGGACGAGTTCATCGTGATCTATTGGATCTACAAATTTATGGGTGAATAAATTATAGGACCAAAAAATACCACACAATACCACCCTGGTACGGGGTGGTATCTTGTGGTATACAATGTTAAAAGTCGTAAATGACAATTAATATATTTCTACTATCATGTATTCAACCATCCTACAGTCTTGGTTTGTTCATACCACCATGGTACTTTTTTCAAACCATATGTATGCTTTTATTTCAATACCAGTCAATACCATATGGTATAGACTGGTAAAAAATGGCTCAATTTTTTTTGTTCGAAAAATATATTAAAGTGGATATAATTTTGAAGAGCACAATTAATCTGATCTAACTGTGCAAAAAAAATTAAATTTCGACTTAAAATGAGTGAGAAATCGTTCGTCAAAGATTAAAGAGGGAAAATTAAAGGCTTTTCAGGAGAGAGAGGATGCTGATGTCATGCTGATGTGGACGGGTTACTCATGGTTACTCACATAAAGTTACTCACCTGATCTGCTCCCCTGAACTCAGACCCTTTAAAACGCTATTTTATGGCATGCAAATAAAACCTTCCAAAATCCAAATATTGATCTTGAGAAATAATAACTGTAAATTAAATAGCATCCAAGGAAAGAAATAATTACCATTTCAGTAATCATTTTCCATATTATACCCGATGACGCCATTCAAGGTGAAGAAATGAGAGCGCGCCAATTACATAATAATACAGAGGACTATATATATATATTTCTATAGGCATGTGATTGTTTCAATCAGCCCAACCCTATTCCATCGATCTAATTCACACCTCCTTCACCTGCCCCCAACGTATAACAATATAGCCAGAAACATCAAAGATCAAAGTCAAAGACATGCAGACTTCCTCCCTCTTTAAGGCATTCTTCTGCCTGTTCCTCCTAGGTACGTATACAATTAGCGGTGGTGGAGTTTACGTGTAGTCTACAGTTTATAATTTTCAATTCATTCTCATTCTAAATTATGATTTTGTTACGGAAAAAAATCAAGCTGATTGGGAGGAAATAATTTTCTGGAGCAGGTTTCCAGATGGTGACATTGCCGGCGGCGAATGCGATCCGGTTGTCGGAAGGCGGGGAGGTTGTAGAGGAAGGTCCGACGAGTCTGATCAGCTGCAAAAAGGAAGCTGATTGTGCCAATGCAGGGAGCATTCTGGTTTGCATCGATGGCCACATCCACTGCCGCAACCAGATTTGCCAATGTGTTAATGACTGAAATTGTTTTTATATATATATATATATATGATCCGGAGATTTGATGCTTGTTGAATTGAGCCACGGTACTTATGCAAAAGATTTGTTCCCTAATAAAACGATTGGGTTAAAATACCACACTTATTACTTCCTTTTTTTTCATAATTTCTTTGACGCATTTACCGCTGTAATAACAATTAATCCATTATTGTGCTCACAACACAATTTGTGAGAAGTTGCTCACAATGATTTTAATTGAATGGAAGCTTAAGCAAACAATCATCACCATTACAGGCTAGCCCTCATATACTCCGGGATTGGACAGTGGCGGGTTCCACCTCTAGTGGGCTGGCAAATGCAACTTTTCTTACGGATTGTGTTCCCTTGGCGTTGGATCCGGGGTTTAAAGGCCCAACGGCCCGATCCCTCAATCAATTTTAGAGTTGATTTCAGGGCTTTCCAATATCAGGTGGTAAATTCTCCTTGCGATAACAATCATAACATCGAGAAAGTATTGAAAAAAATATGTTCTTCACCCGTTTACCCCGTTGGTCTGGTCGAGGTAGCGAGTTGAGAGTTAATAGTCTTATAGCTTTAGCGTGGATATATGAAAATCTATTATATTGTCCATACATCAAATCCCATTGTTCATATGAGTAATAATATGTAGTATTACACCAAATAACAGGTGGTATTTGGATCCCCATATAGTGAAAATTAAAGCACACTTATATTACATAAATATGAAAATATTCAACTTAGAATTCTAAATATAGGGTTAGGCTAGGAGGAAAACCGGAAAAGAGGTACACTTCGCAAATTAAATAGAAAATTGACGCAGTCTGATCTCCAACCCGATATAACCTTGCAGCGGGTCGACCCGCGAGTGGGTCGAACTCATTTTTCTCAACAAATCAGGGTCAACCGATGGGTTGACCCGCGGGTTGACAACCTTACTCGTTGTTCAACCATCGTTCTTTTGGGGGTTTAAGTGATTTTCTTGTTTCGCCTCTTACTATAAATTTTAGTGTATGGTGACATATCGTTATGCCCTTTGAGCACTCTCAACCCATATTCTCCAATTTGTCAGTTACTTGGAGAGGATCTGGTAATATAAAAATCGTGATTTTTAGTACACTCAACCTCATGTCCATTCTCTTGTTCACCAGTTTTCTTTTTCAAGTTCATGCTTACTCTTTCTTTCTTTGAGTCCTCAACCTCTCCTTCCTCCGTCATCTCTAGCTTTCTTGGTTCCCCCTTCTAATGACTTTCTGAATATCAACTTTGAAGTTGTTGTCCGTCTGGCCTAGTTATGTGTGGCTAGGATGGACATGTTTTGTTGCGGTGAATCAGGGTTGCTGGTATGTTAGCTTCGTCAAGGTGTGATGGAGGATTCGATTGAGAGACCTTGTTAAGGGATTTTGGTCAACTAATTGTTGCTCTTTATGATTTTATAAGTATTAGGACAATTCATGAGCCACAAATTCGGTTGCCCGTAGAGGCACTTAAAGCTCTGCTATTATTTCTTTTAGAGTTAAGTTCCTTCGACTTTTTAGAATAGTTTCACTAGTGTGTTGCTTTGAGAGATTTCTTGGGTTGGTGGGGGATAGTTTTTCTTTTCTAATGTCTTTGCATGTTATATCTCGGGGGAAAAAGAACGTGCTGACAAGGGTGTGTGACTGTTAAATTAGACGCTTAGCACTCCGTAGCATAGAATAGATAGATGGAAATTTTGTAAATAAATCGTCATCGTTGAGCGTAGCATATAATCCAACCACTGAGCACCTTATGAGAATGTTCTCGCAAGTATTGTGTGAGCACCCTAACCATTTTGGTAATAACCCATATAAATTTACATAGCCTTTGGGAGTGAGAATGAGAAGGCAATTAATGGGTCTTTACATAACTTGATCCAGGGTATTGGTTCATGTCCAGCACGTCCTTGCTTTGTGCCTCAACTTCTAGGGCTCTCTCTTCTTTTTTGCGTGAGGTTATTTGAACATCTCAACTTCAGGGGTTATCATTGAATTTGCATTTTGCAGGGTACTTGAGGAAATGGGTAGCCTGGATCCATGGTTGCTAATGTATATCTATTATCTAGTCTACACTTTCAAGGTTTGGGATCTTGTAAAACAATTTGTTGATCATATAAATAAATAGCAAATTGTCTGCAAATCCTCCCAACTGTTTCCACCATCACATCTGAAAAAGATGCCAAAGCCTTTGGGCAAAGTAAAAGCAATGGAGAAAAATATAAAAGGGAACCAACAATATCTATGCTCGGAAGGAAATTATGTTCCCAACAATGGGGGCCATACACATTAGCTTTTTTGGTGCTTAAAGGTCACAACCAGCAACCTAATAGTACTTAATCAATAACATAGTGAGAGTAAAGCAATAAATAAGTCTTCTTCAGGCAATGGAAGTTGTAAAAGGGAGAAATAGTTTATCGCAAAGGGAAAAAAGCAAAGCCTAAAACCATACCATGCCTGTAATTATTTGTTCAATATTGTCCCCGCCAATATGTCCATGACATGCCTTTGCCATCATTCTGCCCCCAATTCACTTTTAAGCACTTTACCATCAACACATCGATCACAAAATTTTCTTCTATAAGCTACCATGCTAGAGCTTGCTAGCTAGACATTGTGATCAACACATCCAAAAAGCCACCATCTATAGATGGCAAGTTCGCCACAGAAACACATACCAGAAACTCGTCCCATCGACTTCAGGGCACCACCTCCTTCTCCCGTCGCACCGGGGAGACGATCGTCGTTCGCCAACGACGATGTCCTCACCGAGTTCCTCGAGCACTCGTTGCGAGTGCCCGACTTGGTCCTCCCCGACAAGATCTTCCCCAAGCAGCAAATCCTCGAAACGCCTCCCATTGTCGATTACATGTTGCTCAAATATGGCAACTTCCCGCTCATTGATTCGGCTGCCAGGCTAGGGTGCTTCCAGCTTGTCAACCATGGGATTCCCGGCCAATCCATAAGGTCGGCTGTGGATCTGGCTAGTGGGTTGATCTTCCAAGTTCCGCCGGAGAAAAGGGCTAATGTGACTCTGTCTTCAGAGAACCCATTTGGGTTTGAGGAGATCACTACTGATCATGATCAGGAAGATGATCAGAGGAGTGATAGTAATACTACATTGAGTGAGGAGTTCGTTTGGCGTAGAGATGAGAGCTTCAAGTTGGCTATGGAGGGAATCTTGCCCTTTAGCTACTCCACTTTCAGGTAAAAGTTGAATCAATTCAGTTACTAATGGAAGCCCTTAGCTGTTCGTTCATATATGTCAAAAATTGATATCCTGTTCTTGGTTTGAATATGGTCCGATTAGTGACAAAATGGAAGCCCTGATGTCCAATATTGAGACCTTGGGTGAGAGGATTCTGCAAATTGTGAACCAGTATACAGAGCAAAAATCGCCAGATGGAGGCACCGGAGGATTATCCGGCTGCTATCTGCGGCGGCACCGGAGGAATGTGGCGGCGGAGGGGTGGGAGAAGGCGTTGAGGTATGATGTGATAAAGATGCTGATAAGGGGAACTGATTACTCGCATGCACTGTGCTTCCACATTTGTGACGGTTTCTCGGAGTTTCATGTTTACTCCAAGAAAGGATGGATGTCTTTCTCCCCTGAGAAAGATGCTCTGGTGGTCACTATTGGAGATCAAATTCAGGTAACCATTTTTTGGGTTTTGATTTATACCTTTGTTGGAAAATTTGGCAAATGCAATTTTGACTAACTAAATTTCGATTGAGTTGGTTTAAATTTTGCAACTTTGATAACTTTTAGTGGGTTATTTGGTAACATATTTGATTCATAAATCACGTTTAATCAGTTGAGTCTTGAGTTTCGACCTAATCAGATGCTAGTTAGTTGATTGTCCTCGTATCGTGGTCGCAAACCTTAGATAGGTTTCACTTTGTCGTTGAAGTATTTGGTTGATCGAAATGGGACACGAGAGATTTTCAAAGCACACAATATGAAAGTTTAGAAGTATAATCGGATGCCATCTGTCGAACGATCTGATTGGATTGGTGTTGTGGAATTCTCAAGACTAATTAAGGCACAAACATCTTTAAGCCTATTCACTGATAATTAGTGTTATTAATTAAGGCAATATTCTTTTTTATTTATGTTAAAACAGTCACTCGTGCCCTTCCTTCTAATGCTTTTGTATAACCATATGATCGTTTCTTCTACTTTAAGAGATTCGGGGGAATGATCAATTATGGATTAGTGTCTTTTGCAAGTCTTGTCTTACAAAAATGCACCTCCAGGGTGATCATCATTATGTCTGTTAATCTCTTAAACAGTGTAATTATACTCTCCCTAATCTTTAATCATAATCACTGCTTTTTCTTTTGTGTTGTTGTGTCCTCTCCAGGCTGTGAGTGGTGGCCAGTTCAAGCATGTGCTAGGGAGGCCAATCTTTAAAAGTGATGAAGATCATGATCATCAACAACATCATAATAACTCTAATATTTCGATGGCGTTTCTGTATTCTCCACCGCCGGCAGCCACCATAAATGGTCACCATGGCAGCAGAAGTGCCAGTCAAGTTGAAGAGGAACACGCAATATTTACGATCAGGCAGCAAGCTCTGGCAGCTCTTGTTTTGGCTCTTGTGTGCAAGTTTTTGGCTTATATTTATAAGAAATTTTGATTTTGATTACATATATCAATGGCGCTTTCCTTTTTATCTTTGGGTTTTCTTTTGTTTTGGGTTTTCATACATGTAAGTGATGAGGTCTTCAGTTTTTACAATTTGTAATTGGAGTAATCATAACCAAGAAAAGAAGTAATGGAACTTCAACTACGAGAAGGTATATATACATATGACTTGTTTCGAAGTACAACACTTTGATCAACAAACTAGAATGAGAGTTTGAGTTAACATACTTTGCTGCAAATTTGACTACCCAATCAACTTTTGGAATCCCAGTACTCCACATATGTCTTGCAAGAGATTAATTTGGAAGCTCATTGTAAGCAACCGTGTGAATTTTTGAGTGATTTGCCTGGGAGATGGATCTTCTATCTCCTTCTCACTAGCAATGTAGTCAAAATCGCGTTTTAAAACTTAAAAACTTACGATTTTACGTTTCTAGGTCACTAAAACGTTTCTACACAAAATCTTAGTTTTTATAGCTTATGTGGTTAAAAACTCCGCATTAAAACTTAAAAACTTACGATTTTACGCTTTTAGATCACCAAAACGTTTCTACGTAGAAACTCACTTTTGACTACATTGCTCACTAGATAGATGGATTCCTACTCATACTCTTTCTCAAAACTTCTCAAACATATTCTCAGCAACAAGGGACAAGTATGCTCACTCATAGAATATTTTCCAATGAAGAAGACATTGTTCTTTTGTGGACTGAGTTATTGGTTACTTAAGTAGCATTTTCATCTTTTGGTTCCCAGATAGATAAGATACTTCCATTACTGCCCAACATAAAATTTCAAGTGTGCATAATTACTATACCAAGCTTTCTAGTGATAAATTTACAAGACTTGGACAATTCTTTCCTTCTATTGCAATCTGGATCCCTGTTGTCCCAAGTAAAATTGTGCATTTTCTTGGTTGGTTTTTCAAGAGAAAATTCTCACGCAAGATCGATTTAAAGAGAGGTTGGCAGATACCCATAGATGTTGATATCTACAAGCACATAAAAGCATTAACAACTTACTAGCACATAAAATCATTCATTTTATCGTCTCTCACACCTCAACCTAAAGCTTGTCGATCTTCATCTTTGCTATAACTATTATTTTAAATTGATTTAATTTATACTTAGTATTGTGTCGCTGTTACTTTTGAACTAATATGGCTCGTCACGAGCTAACTTGCATTGTTACAAACAAATCTACCTTAAAAAAAAAAGATGTACTCACTAATGACCCAACATGAGCTCCTTACAAAAATATGTGACATTTGCAGCATAACGAATATATTTGGGTGTTAGATAATGCACTTAACATGCATATGGTCTCATTTTCCCAATCGGGTGGGGTCTAAAAAATTTGGGCTCTAATTAACCTAGTGGAAGCCATAGAAATCTTGTTTAAAGCACCAAGTGGAGTGGGTCCCATGACTCTATGTAAAGCACTAATCGAAAACCAAAATTTAGTTTAGAGTATCAACATAAAACTACAAACTCGACTTGGATCATGAGATGAAAACTATAACCCTAAAACTAGATTAGATAGTCGGGATGCAATAAAATAAATACAAGGGTGTATTTGGATTTGAGAATTTGGATTTGATACTTGGAATTTTGAATTCACTAAAAAACAAACAAATATAAGCTTACCAATCCTTGCTGAGAATTCCCTTAGGGTGCGTTTGGATAAGTGTATTTTAAATGTAAGGTATTTGAAATACTAGCATTTGAAATGAATGTATTTGAAATATTAGCATTTGAAATATATGTAATTCAAATTCATTGTTTGGATACTCATTTGTAATTTGTTTGTATTTTGTATTTTACGATTTTCAATTTGAATTTTTAAATTTCTGATCACTTACTACAAATTTTGGTAAATTATAGTTTGATACCCAAATTTATTTTTTCTTACAATTTAGTACCTAAAATTTTAAAATTTTACAAAAAGGTCCTGAAATTTTGATGGTAAAATTACATTTTGGTACCTTTATATGTTTTTCCTCACACTATAGTACCTAAACTTTTCATATTTTACAAATAGGTCCAATTTTTTGTTAGGAGGTATTTCAAATCACTAGTTGTTGAAATGTATTTGAAGTTAACAAAAAATACACTAGACGTGTATTTGGAAATCACCCCATGAATTTGACACAAATCCAAATACCAGATGTAATTAATATCCAAACACATGATTTGGTATTTGGAAATCCAAATCACAAATACCAAATCCAAATCATTGTATCCAAACGCACCCTTACATTGTTTGACTGCCCCTTTAACGCATCCTTAAGGCTAAAACCAAGAACATGGATAATGATTTAATGAAAGAGACTCACAAAAAAGCTCTTGAACACAACTTAGTATGCACAAAAAAAAATTATTATTTTTCATTCCATGGTTGCACATCACACATTCAAATGGACCAACATAACCTCATTTAACCCTCTTGTTCCTAGTATGAATTCGTTTGTTCAAAATTAGCCAGACTAAAAACATGTTGTTTACATTCCCCTTGCCTTTCCACACGACAGAAGGCCAACGAGGTCAGAGTTGGCCTTAAATGTTTTGACGGAGTAATTCTATTCTATTCTATATAATTTTTTTTTGACAAAGGATATTGAATTTCCATTACTTGTGGCACAAGCCAGTCAACGCAACATGGGAGCTACAACATCAAGAATATTTAACCATTGAGATGGCAACTGGTTTCTAGCACATGATCTAGCAACCCAATTAGCCTTGGAATTGTTCTTGCGGCTAAAGTGCTGCAGCGTGATGAAAGGGTTCTCCGCAAGAAGACGCTTGATGCAACCCAGCCTTGCTGCCGCTCGCCACGGCCATGAAATTGGGTCGCTCTGTACTGCCTTCACCAACTGCAGGCAGTCTGATTTCAGCAGGCAGGGAGCTCTGTGGGGTGCAGCTAGTCGGGAACCCTCAAGAAGGGCCAATGCTTCTGCTTCAAGTGGGGAAAAACAATGCATGGGCTCAGCTCTGCCATCACAAACTTGGCCATGGCTATTCGTAACAACGACGCCATATGCCGCCTTCTGGGGCTCGTCAAAGAACGAGCCATCGCAGTGTACTTCAAATTGATGAGTACCTGGCGGTGTACCCACTCAATGGTCCACTTGCCCAAGGAAAGTTTCTAAAAAGACCCTACCATCTCAGCTCATCCCACCCTACACTTTTTTCCCAAAAACACTCTTTTACTGTTTCAATTTTTGTCCTTTAGTGAAAGGGCTCCCCACCTTCCCAATCCCTCGCTGGACTAAAGAGAACCGAAGAACTCCAAAACTGAAAAAAAAAATTAAAAAATAGGAAGGTTGCCCCATTTCTTTCTGCCGCCCCCTCCCCTGCCAAACCATTCTCTGTACACTTCCCTATCCAATCACATCACTCCCAATTTTTCTTCCAATCAACAATCATCTATCCATCTCTCAACTTTGCACCATCACTCCATCAGTTATACATTTCCTTCTCCCATGGCTTTTTGGTCCTTTTTACTTCCAAATGTACATAAAAAAAGTAGTACTAAGATTCACTTGGACTAGATTTACATTATAAATATTCATTGTTTTCATTAATTCTATAACACAAGAACAAATATTTTTGTACAGAAACAAAGATAATTATGATGCCCCATGCATGGGCAGAGGTAATCCAATATTATACCTCTTTGACATTCCTCTGCTATAGCCCTATTATTACCTTTCCTCTAATCTCCCACCCTAATAAACACTCTTTCATGACCTTCCCCTTTCACCCAACCAAAACTACAGCTGCAACACTCCCCATTTCCACACCTAAAAAATGAAAATCTTCCCCAACAAAAAGGAAGCAGAAGAGTTGAAAAGACCAAATGAATGGACAGCCCAAAATAATAGGGGGGAAATGTACAATGGACAGAAAAGAGAGCACAATGGCTTAATAATTAGCTTGCTGCTGCTCCAAACATTTTACTCAACTGATGCAGCCCCTTGGGTGTTCTCCTCACCTACAACAGATAGAGATTTAGTTGAGAGAATGGAGGGAGGAGACCATTGATCTGGGACCATTAGGAAATAGGTAGTCATTGCCCCTCTTATCCCTTTCTTAACTATTTCCTAAAAATTCATCGCTTCCTTTTTTCTTCGCTTTGAGATGTTGAGGAAGAAGATGTGGCGATGATGTCAACATCCAATTGGGAAAAGCCGTGTCGGCAGCAAAAGGGGAAGCTCTGGCTTGAATGTGCTTTGTCAATTGATAGCCAACGCGCCATGAAACCTGTCGACCGAGGAAGCGCCTCTACCGGCCATCATTGCTCAATCTCAACCGAAGATCAGTTGGTCGTCAAATACTCAATGGAGAGGGGAGACAGAGAGGTCTGTCGGTCAGAAATTCGCGTATAATACCTAGCTAGCTTGATCAATTTTTTTGTCTCAAGTGGATCAGCTTTACTAATGTTTTGTCGCGGTGGTGGCCAGTTCCTGTTTGCAGTGGCCTGAAGTCCTGAATGACAAGGATGACAGTGGCTAAAACAATCTCTTGACTACCTGAGCAGGACCAGTATGAAGCGGTAATCAAAGGAGCAACTTAGAAGCCCGTCAATAGGTATGCTTTGGTCTTACTCTGTTTGTCTTCCTCTTTGTTCCTTTTATGGTTCTCGATTCTCTTGCTTCCCATCTCCAGCGACTGCTTTGTACCTTGACATACCAATGTACCTGCGTTGTTCTTTCTTTAGTCCATCACTTGCAATGGAATGGTTTTCTACAAAACAAATTTCATACTCCAAGCCCATCATGATGAGGAGGAAGAAGGTCACCATCACCAGTCTCCAACTTCTCTCAACCCAATTCTCCGTTCCTGGACTGCAACACTTCCATGGTAATTAAGCTTTATCTTCCGATTCTTTTATGGTAATTCTGAACTGGGTGGGATGATTGATTTGTTTTCTTTTAGGGATGGCATAACGCTACCTCCCTTGATTTGTACGGTCCTCGCCTTCCTTCCCTCGATTGGTGAATTATCTCTCCTATTAGTTCATTCTGGGCACCGCCTCCCCACGTATCTCTTCATCGACCTATTTTCTTTCTATTATGACTTCTTTTCCATATTATTTCAATCTTTTCCTGATTTTCCTGGAAAAAAT